GTGGTTAAAAAGTTCTTTGTGAAAAGAAAGAAAGAAAAGCTGTTTGTGTTCCGTTACTTTAAAAAATTTGAATCTAGAGAAAAGTGGCAAAAAAGTTCAAAGAAATTCAGAGACCCTTCACCCAGATTTACTTATTTTATTTATTTATTTTTTACTTTTTGGCTGCATTGGGTCTTAGTTGCGGTATGCGGGATCTTCATTGCGGCATGTGGGATCTTTTGTTGCAGGATGTGGGCTCTACCTTGTGGCGCAGGGGCTTCTCTCTAGTTGTGGCGTGTGGGTTTTCTCTCCCTACTTGTGGCCCGCGGGCTCCAGAGCGTGTGGACTCTGGTTTGCGGCACGTGGGCTCTCTAGTTGAGGTGCGCGGGCTCCATAGTTGTGGCACACAGGCTTAGTTGCCCCATGGCATCTGTGCCCTTAGATCCCCGACCAGGGATCGAACCCGCATCCCCTGCATTGGAAGGAGGATTCTTTACCACTGGACCACCAGGGAAGTCCCCAGATTTACTTATTGTTAACATTTTGCCACATTTGCAGTCTCTTGCCATATATATATGTGTGTATATATATGTATATACACATTTTTTGGAGCCATTTGAGAGTAGGTTGCAGACATCATGCCCCTAATTATTTCAGCATATATTTCCCAAGAACAAGGGCAGTCTCTTACATAACCCGGTACAATATAAAAACAAAAAAAACAGGGACTTCCCCAGTGGCACAGTGATCAAGAATCCGCCTGCCAATTCAGGGTACACGGGTTAAAGCCCTCGTCCGGGAAGATCCCACATGCCGTGGAGCAACTAAGCCCGTGTGCCACAACTACTGAGCCCACGTGCTGCAACTACTGAAGCCTGTGCGCCTAGAGCCCGTGCTCTACAACAAGAGAAGCCACCGCAATGAGAAGCCCGCACACCACAAGGAAGAGTAGCCACAACTAGAGAAAGCCTGCGTGCAGCAACAAAGACCCAACACAGCCAAAAAAAAACAAGTCTAATGTGGATACAATGCTATGATCCAACATACAAATTTTGCTGTCTCAGTATTGCCCTCTATAGTAATTCCCCCCATCCCCACCCCCAAGATCCTAGCCAGGACCAAGTATTGCATTTAATCATCGTGTCTTTTTAGTCTCCGTTAATCTGCCACAGTTCCTCAGCTTTTCTTTGTCTTTCATGACACAAACATTTTTGGAAGAGCACAGACACGTTATTCTGTAGCATGTCCCTCAGTTGGGTATGTCTGATGTTTCCTCGCGATTACTTTTATGCATTGCTGAATGGATGGTGATGCTGTGTCGTTCTCAGTACATCACAGCGGGAGGTGTGCGATGGATGTCAGTTTGTCCCGTTATTGACGTTAATGTGGACCACTTAGTTAAGGTGGTGTGGCAGTTTCTCTACTATAGAGTTACTATTTCCCCCCCTTCCCCCCCTTTCTAATTATCAAGCAATTTGGGGCTATTTATGTGAAATCCTCGAACGTCCTTCCAATTTCATGGGACAAAATAGGCGAGGCTTTCCCTTTAGGAAATGGACACCTAGTTCTTGCCGAATCGATGTAGCAGCGAACCTACGGCAGTACCACCCTTTGTCAATAAAGTTACGTGAACGTGAACCTTTCCGGAAGGGCTGAGGCGGTCGGGACGCAAGGCGTTTAGGGAACTGTAGTCGCCCTAGGAGCTCGCGGCTAAACACCGCCCAGTGGCCTCTCAGAGAAAGAACCAGAAGCCGAAAAGGGAGGGCAAAGAGGGACGAGCCGAGGCGCTCTAGGATGCGGTGCATCACGGGAGTGATAGTTCAAGAGCGCGGTCCTTCGGCTTCCTGCCGCGCCCCGCGCCGGAGAACTGGACTGTCATACCCGATAGGCCACGCGCGCGGGGGAGAGGGAAGTCGGCCTTGGCCTCCAACAAATCAAATCGAAGGAAAGAAACTGCCGGCTTTCAAAATCCTCCTCCTCCGCCATCATCTGCCGCCGTGCGGGGAGCAGGTGGTGTTGGAGGCTCGAGCGGCGAGAACCGCTCGGAGAGCTGACGGACAAGTGGGCTGGACATCGGGGCCGCTGGACTGGAGGCGGCGACCCCCACCTGACCTGACCCGGACCCTAAATCAGTCCCCGCCCCGCCGGACCGACGTGCGCGCTCCGGTCGCCGCACGCGGCGGCGCCTCCTCCTGTTTACGGTAAGGTCGGGGTCCCTTTCCTTTCCTTGTCACCTGCCTGGGATTGGGGCGGGGAGCGGCGCGGCCCTGGAACTGGACGAGGAAGGTGTGGTGCCCCCGAGCACTCTGTGCGTGCCCCCTCCGCCTTCTCCCCTGTGCCCTCGATGGCAGAGCGCGATGGGGGTGGGAGTGAGGGAGTTGGGGGGCGTTGGCCCTTTTCACAAGTGGGGAGACTGAGGCTTAGAGAGGGCGTCAGGCCCACCCTGGCCGCCCAACCCGCAGCTGCCAGCAGTGGCGTTTCCTGTTAGCGTCGGTGTCATCTGGGGGCGGTGCGCGTCTGCCTGGGATCCGGGATGGGGTTCCCGTGCAGCGTGGCTGTCATTTGCGGCCCGTACTCGCGCATCGCTCCCCGCTGCCGCCTCCCAATAGGCCCACACCCGCGGAGGGCCTGGGCTGCCGCCGCAGGCCCCGGACCAGCGTGAGCCTCTGCTGACGCTTGGCAGGAGCCGTGGATGTGCACCTAGGAAAATCTGCGACGCTCCTACGCGGAATAGAGAGGAGTGTGTGTAATTACCGTTTGTCTGTGCTTTGCCTCTGGTCCTTGGCAGACCTTGGACCAATCAGTTCACCACTCTGTGCTTCAATTTCCTAGTCTTTATAGTGGATGGGGGGTGTGTGTGTGTGTGTGTGTGTGTGTGTGTCTGTGTGTGTGTGTGTGTGTCTGTGTGTGTCTGTGTGTGTGTGTGTGTGTGTGTGTG